ACAGACCTGTGCGCTCTGGGTGATGTTCTCCCGCTGCTGCTGGTCCAGGTGGCCAATGGCGTTGCTGGTCTCCTTTTCACATGGGTCCAAAACACCAGGCCCGTCTAAGGGGACAGGCAGCTGCAGTGAGCTCCAGGCGCCCAGAAGCTTCTGCCGTAAAGTAGTGGCCACAAGGCAGCCCAGGGTTACCTTGCAAGAGGATTCCAGAGGCCAGGCACTCGAGCACCCGGCGCAGAGCCTCCCCCGCCCCCATGGGCCTGATCCCCGTCCCGATGGCCTTCTCACACAACAGCTCCAAGGGCTGCAAAACAACAAAACCCCTCTCAGCTTTCACTTCCTGTTGCAAAAGGAAGAAGGTCCAGGCTGTTAACCGTCAAGGTCGAGGGACGAATAAAAACATCCAGCCACCTTCCCAAAGCTTACTGGGGGGGGGGGGTCGCAGCCACGTGAAAAAATTACCTCATAAAGTGAGGCGACCACTACGCACCAGCCTTCAGAGGCGAGCTGACAAAGATTCCCGTTAAATAAGTTATTAGAAAAGTGTCATTATTATTACCAGTCAGATCCTGTGAAATGGGTGACAGAGGCATCTAACTTTAATGAACCCATAAATTTAATACGTATATTAAATTTTGTGAAGAAATAAGACCAAGACAGTGGGCACCGTCAAGACACTCACCCATCCCTGCAGGGGGGCCCAGACGGCTACGCGGCTGCACAGGTCCCTGAGGACGCGGATGACGATGACGCAGGACTTCAGCCCGTTGGCCCTAGCCTGCGGACACACCGGGAGAGGGAGGATGCCGCGTTAGGCGGGTGGCCCGGCAGGGGACTGCCGTTCAATGTAAGCTCTGCCTGGTGTCAGCAGGGGTCCTCTCTATGCCTAGACCCGGGTGCGAGCTCCGGCATCATCAAATGCCATGAGCCTGGAGGATTAGACGATCTGCCTGTGCAGCACTAACCGGGCTGCGCTAATGGGCGCCATCTCGCTCAATCCGATTATGCATGGATCTAGCCTCATTCATTAAAAGTGCAAAGGGAAGATTTCTGAATGCACGGTACAACGAGCTACCACCCCAAAACGCAACAAACTCAGCCAAAGAGGGGGGAAAACGCAAACCTTCGCAATCCTGAGTTTCATAAGGCTATGATCTTGGGTTAACCGCCTAGCGCGAAATGGCTACACGTCACGTGAGGCGACCGTGCGAGGTTCCAAGCTCCCTCTGACTGTAACGAGCCACTTAACGAGACCCTGAAACAGGGACCTCACATACGAATAAAATAAGAGATCGGCGACGTCCCTGAAATACCCTGGGTTATTACAGCAGCGCATGGCGTTAAAGAAAACAGAGCAAGGCGAAGCTGGGGAGCGCAGGAGTGGTCAGCACGTCACGCGAGGTTGACCAAAGCTACATGAACGAAAACAACTTTTATAATAAACGCAGCGAGACGGTCAGCTTGCTCCACTGAAGACACTGCACTAGCTCCTCAAGTGTGATTTGCAACAATCTCTTAGGGGGGTGGGGGGGGGTGGGGTTCTGTTAGAACTGATTGCAAAAACAGCAGCTGAACTTCAGGTAATAAACAGCAAAACAAATCTATGACCTGGACGAAGCAGGACTAGGGGGGGGGCAAGGGGGTGGTGCTTCATAGTCCAGTGAGTTACTTAATATACACATACTATGAAGGCGGCACATGTCAAAATGCACAGGAATGGCAGGAATAGAGAGAGAACACTACTTGAAGACAAGTAAAGATGCAAACCTGGAACCACTTGGCGTGGCGAAGGGACGCCAAGGCTGTCAGGCATTTCTGCCTGTCCAGAGCATCCGGCGGATCGTTGCCTGTTAGCGTTTCTATCGACGGGTGGAATAAGAAGACAAGGCACTGTTTGACCAAGGGGGGGTTCTGTCACACGGCCAGGGGGAGCAGGCAGGTGTCCCAAAACCAGGAAGCGGAGGCGGGGGGGAGGGGAGGGAGGGGGGGGGGGAGAGGTCCCCCCCCCCCCCCCCCCCCCCCCCCCCCCCCCCCCCCCCGCCACACCCAAGAAACACTCCTGACTGTCTGGTTCGCAGCCATGACAAAACACCGGCACTCATTTAACTGAGGCAGAGGTCTCTCTGCGGCAAGAGCCTTTAGCCTGGCGTGACCTCGTCTGCGAGGCTCCAGCTGCGAGCTCCATAACCCAATGAGTGTCCTCCACTGACCCCAGAGGGCAGCTTCTGGAAAAATCCACTCCTCTCCCTTCTTTCATGACTGTATTTTTTATTTTTATTATTTTTTTTTTTTTAAATAATGAAAAACAAGCATGTGACCTGGGGGTAGATTCCCTCCCCATCGCCCCCTTTCTTTGGGTGTACTGCCTTGCCCCTTCCGAGACAGAGAGCGTCCAGTTGGTCAAAGGTCCAGCGTCCCTAAAAATTGACAAACTAGAAGGCTTGGTAGAGAGAATCAGATTTTGAACCACAGCAGCAATAATCAGATGCACAAAGCATGTAAAGGAAGTCTACACTGCAGCAAAACTGGCATCTGCAACACAAAGGCAGGATCCGCTCAGGGCCTGGGATGTGGATGGGGTGGGGCTTCTCTGGTCGTTAACCCAATATGAGTCTATACTAGCTGGTTGTTGCTGATCACCATTTTTCCTGTATCAGGCAGAAACACATGGGGGACAACGGCACTTACTCTGTACCTGTTGTATATATTCAGCAGCGCTAGCGAAACATTGTTCCCTGGTAGTGAGGGAGGGCTTGGTTTGACTGTGACTGGCTGAATTCGCATTCACCCATGCAGAGTCAAAACACCCCAACATTATCCATAACCCAGGCCAGCTCCCAGTACAAAATTTCAAGGCCGCGGCCTCGCGCCGGGGCTGGTGACCAGAGTACGACTCACAACTCATTTTTGCTGCAATATAAACCATCATGACAATTTCAGTATTAAAAATACATGCAAGTCCTCTGAAAGCCTTCAGATATTCATCTATCCTGAAGCTATGATGTAGGGACAGCTTTGTCTGTGTGTTTCTGCTTTTTTCCCCCTCTTAAGTTAACTTCTTTACTGTGTATTGGGCCATCAAAAACTGCTACATTAAAAAAACACTGCATTTACTGCAGCCTCAAGCAGCTCTGAGAATAGTGCAGTGTGCCTCCCGGCTCCATTGAAGGCCCAATAAACAATATCTGCCACATATTGTTTCCGCATGTGTTTCCGGGGTGAACCAGGGGGCAGGCCGGGCCCTACAGGGGGAAGGCCTACCTCCAGCGGCCTGCCTCTCAGTCTCCTCACGCACCACCGGGGACGTCAGGAGGATGGTGAGCGTCAGCGCTGGCTCCTTGGCGCTCTTAACGAAGATCGCGGCATCACTGACGGATGGGACGACGTCATACTTGTCATCTACAATAGTCTGTGTGCCAGAACGTGGGGGAGGGGGAATTAGAGTGCAATTAGAACTATATGAAATTTCAGGTCCAGAAAGTAAAAATCCAGACCAAGATTTAATTCCAACCAACCAGTTGTCTATAAAGAGTTACAGTCAGTAATCAGCTGGTTGGTTGAAGCAAAATCTTGGACTGGAGTTTTACTTTCTGGACCAGGGATTTCCCCTTTTGGTTATACCTTTTGTTAGGCCTAATTTCCTCTTATGTTATTCAGTGGAGGCCTATGATCATAGCTTTTATGTTCTCCTGAATCTCCCCGAATCAAAGAGCAGCCAAGCGGAGGGAGCTCACCTTCAACTCTGCACTCAGGTTCTCCGCTACTTTCTCCAGCAAGGTGACGGTGGGCTTGTCCCTGCAGAGTAGCACCAGCTCCAGGTCCAGGTCCCCCTTCAGAAGGAGCCCCTTGGCGACCAGACCCACTCTCATCACCCCGCGCAGGGTCCGGGTCACCTGTTCAGGTGGCTTCGCCTCACTAGGAAGACAGAAAACATGCACCGGTGAGCAGAAGTGAAATTTCCCACCAATTAACAAGGGCATGCAGCAGAAGTCCATGAAATCCCGCTAGTTCATGCTGCGCCACAAATCCACCACACTCTCCACTCCTTACCTGTCCTTCTCTGGGCCCTCCGCAGCAGCATCCTCCGTGCCGACCTTCTCCTGTTCGTCCAGCCAATCAGAGACAGCCTTGAGGGCGCGCTCAGTGTGAGACACCATGTTCTGCACGGCCTCCAGCTCCTCCTGCGAGGGGTACACCGCGGAGTGCTTCGCCATGACATGGCGGTCGTCGTTCAGGAAGATTCGCATGGGTCTCTGGCGGAAAGGAGGGGACTGCCGGAGAGAGGAGCAGGGTTTGGTCAAGCGAGCAGTGGGGACAAAACAGAGCAACAGTGCAGATGTTCACAGGCAAACGCCCAAACACATGCAAATATCATTCCGATTTAAAAGTGATGCAAGACCTATGTGCAACTTCAGTGCCATGGGCCTCTCACATACAATACACATATTTAGCTGCTGTTAGCATAAGCAACCTGTGTTTAACGTTCCATCCATGTGGAACACTGAATCGTTTTTATTATTGTCCCGGTAGTTTAGGAATGCAGGGACCAGGAATCTCAGCATCATCCCTCCCACACAAGGACCTGGCCACTGGTTGCCGGGGTTTGCAGAATAATCTCTGCAATGGACCTTGAAAAGATCGCATGGGGGAATGGGGGACAGGAACCAAACATGTATGTAAGCACTGAGGGGCAATCGCTGCTCAGGCACATCCTCCCTGAGGCGAGAAGGCCAGCAGGAGCTCACCATAACAGGTACAGAATCTCCCTCCTCAGGTTCCTGTGCGGCACCGGCGGCACGCTGCCAGTACAGCCGCAGATGCTCCTCGTGGCACACGCACTCGTACCAGTAGCGCAGCTCCTCGTATCTGGAGGAGAGATGAAAGGAGGTCGAAACAGTCAGAAACAGAAAAGCAGACCAATGGGGTGCCCCGGCTCCAAGCCCGGAGAGGAGCGCAAAGAAGCTACGAGAGGCATTAGAGAACATACCGGAATCAAAGCCAAAGTACCCCACCTCTGAGTGAGGCGGCTTGGCCAGACATACCAGTAAATACCCAGTTATAAAAAGCAGATGCGTCTAAAGCATGCAGCTTAGGACATCCCCGAGTGCAGAGTCTCTAGAGCCCGAGCTGGTCGAGAAATATGAGACTTCGAAGGCAACAGAAATCCATTTTGCACCACGACAGACATCACACTTCACGCTCCCCTTTCACGACAAACTCACAATGATCCGACAGTCTAAGATCGCCGCTTGAACCACTCGACAAACCCAGTAGCAGTAAAATGAATAATATGTCACCCCAGGGCAACCGAATGATGCCCCACGCTTATATACTCTCTACACATGCCCAGGACGTGATGCAAAACTCTCAACCAATCATATTATAATACATTTGGCTTTAACCGCTCAGAAAGAGAAAGTTGGCATGATCACCAAGTGTCCAGAGTCTAATTCCACGACACGTAGGAGGCTTGTGTTTAGTCACAAGCGACCTTGCGGACTGATACAAAGAAGGTTCCTGGGCCTTTTACTCAGACTTTGAGATAACACTTAGCCAAAATCATAGCCAAACTCAAGGTTTCAGAAACATAAACTATGATAAGGAGTCAAATTGAGTAACAAATGGGATGCAATGACCGTTCGCATATTCATCATATGGGCAAAGTATCACTCTAAAATAAGAACTAATTTTAATGAATAATGGCTAAATCGCCGGTTGACCATTAATAAATCCCGAAACCATAATCAATTAGTCTTCAGATTACTGATATAAAACACAAAATTCCTGTGTGACAGGCAGAGGGAGATCTGCATGAGGCCTCCAGGAAATCTGATCCTCTGTGGGCACCAGGTTCTGCTCATGCAGCTCATTGCGCAAATTCTTAATCGCAGTTGGAGTTGAGCATGACTAGATCATTAGAGGAAGACTTGCTAGCCTGTACTTCTAAAAAAGACCAGCTCCAGTCATACACCCCAAATAGCAAATGAGCCAGAGCCCTGGTCCGAAAGTACCAAGGGCTTTCCAGCCAGACTCTGCGCGATTACACCCTACGCCACCTCATGTTCACATGCATGGACTGAGATTCCTATGCAGAGCCATAGAAAATAGAGGGAGACGGACTTCTCATTAAGAAAAAAATAAGATGTAGAACCAACAAACAACTGACAAGAGAAAGAAAATCAGTACATAAAACAAGAAAACTGGGGGGGAAAAAATCTGTAAATGAACATAAATTCAGTTAGAAAAATGAGTTAGTTTGAAAATTCCTGTCATTGTTTACGTACCAAGAAGTCGCACCTCAGATACAGGAAACGACTGAGGTGACTTTGTGCCAGTGTTAGATTATTTTACGTTTTTATTTTAAATGTTAAATTTGAAATCCAGTTTAGTTACTTTTCAGAGTGGTTGTACTTCTTAAACATTTCTATTTAGTTTTCATATATTTTAGTTTCAGTCAAAGTTTTAGTAATTTTATTTTTAGGGATAGACTAAAAGTTGAGCTGTGTTAGGTGGCTGATTTTCAGCGAATCCTACACAAATACACAGTGCGCAAAAGGCACTAATATCCTCAAAATGGGCAAAACGTTACAGGGATTACTGATGGTCATTAAAGATAAACAAATCATTACTTTTTAGCTAGATAGTATTTTTAAAATGTATATAAAAAAAATTTATGAAAAATATTTGACATTTGTTTTATGTTATTTCAATTAGTTTCTGAAGCTACATTTAAAACTACATCCAAGCGAAACCTTTATTTTCATATTTTATTTCAGTTTAAAAAAAACGTTCTCTTATAGCTTTAGTCTTTGTTAGCACCTGGCCATGTGCCCAGCAACCAAGGCAGAGGGGTTTGCTCGCAGTTACCTATCGAGGTCCTGTGGGTGAAGGTGCCGGCCGTGTTGTATCAGGCTGTCCCAGTAAAGGAGCTCCTCGTACGCCAGACGCTCGTCCAAAACCAGCTCTGGCACCGGCTGAGCCCACTTAGCAAAATCACCCCTTTTCTGACCGCAACCTCTGCCCATCACCTGAAATCAAACGGTCAGCCATTCAACCCACAGAACTCCACAGCAGCCAAGGGAATATTGTGATTAAACTATTAGCAACTCAAATGCTGAGCCCAAAGCAATTACGTCAGACACAAAGCCGTCATCCAAAATCTTAACTCATAATTGTGGTCTGTCTATGGATTAATCCATAAACCACTATCTCAAGCCTAAAGAGCAGTTAGCCAGTTGCTAATTTCATGCTGGCAGCAGTGCCATTCTGACTATATGGTTGTACCCTGTTTTATCCACAGGATAATACAAGAACAAATACAAGAGAGGAGGACCTTAAATATTCCATAGTGTGGTACTGGGAACCAGAACACAGTGTCCCTGTTCAATTCACTTCGGTTTAATTAAGCAGCTTGAATTACCCACAGGTCTCACCACTTCAAGTGACACCTAGACCATCTCATGCCCTCCACACAAAACGAGGCTTGTACCGTTTGATTGGGGCAGGAAGAATCCTGTCTGTAAAGCACTGCGTTGCCAAGGACATAAAAGGGCAGCTGTCAGAGATCGAGGCTGTCGATCGTCACCCTCCTTCCACTGAAGAGGTTTAATCCGCTCAGTGCACCCATGTCACTAATTAAACAGATTCCGGAACCTCTCCATCCGACAGCAGACAGGCGATAAGGTCACCATGACGCACCGTCTCGCACGTTAATGATGATGCCTGTCAGAGCAATTCTAAATAAGACATGAACTACGCCCAAAGGGCCAGCTAGCATATTCATGTCATTTCTAAATATAACAATTAAATGTTGCTAAAGCGAAAAACGCTGGTTAAAGAAACAGTTCATTTCAATATTGATTTAAACCAGTGCCTAGTTTCCATTTAGCAATGCCACAAAGAACGCCGATAACACGGATGACCTTGTCAGGTACAGCCATCGCTATTACAGTTGGGTATGGGCGGTTTAATTTCTAAATGATACAAAAGTGACAGGTGATGTTTTCACCTGTATTTGTTTTATAATTGTCAGAGTTAACAGCACAAACGGAATGACACGCCGTTTCAGCCGAAAATAGTGCATTTTACTTTTCATTTCAAACAAAACCTAGGGCTGCCAATTTTGGTCAGCTGTCTGGAATGAGATTTTCAATTCGAGAAAGGTCTGCACACGCATTTACAGGTACGTAACAGATCTATTACCTTGTAAATAGTCTATAGGGTTTGCAAACTACCCCAACGGCTTTGATTAAGCTAATTTTAGGTTTATAATGGAATATAGATTTGCTGTAAGATTTCTTGCGTGAGCGTGAGAGTCAGAAAGCGAGTGTCGGCAACGTTTTGTTTCACCTGAATTGATTAGAATATAATACTTTATAGTTTTAAATAGCATAAACTTTGACGAACATGAATTCACCAGTAAACTACGTCTATTTATCCAACATTTTATAAAATACATACTGCGTTTGAAACCTTTTAGGCGTTACAATTTCAGGACAGTGCAGCCCCTCTCTTACAAACATTACGGCTTTTTGGCTGAGGCATTAGATCTGCTGCTGTCATTAACACCAACGGTACATTAGTGCAAAAAAGGCTGCAATAAGCCGATGTACGTCTTGCCCGGCCGATATACGAGTTTGATTATTCTGAATTTAATTTACTATCGCGATGCCCCGTCAGAGCGTGTAATAGAAAAATCACGCAACGCAAATAAACCGGTTACATATCATATATGACGACAAGTATTTAGATTACAACTGAAGCTTTGAAGAAAAAATGTTTTACTTTTATATATTGGCTGTTGTATAATTAGACTGTAGATATTACCGGTATAGTAGTAATTCATACGGAGGAGCACAACCATACCGGTAATGACTAAGGTACCTACCGTACTGGTGTACCGCCCACCCTTACTTTGCACCTAAAACAACTGCTTATATGACAACTCACAATTACAGGTAATTCTTATTCCTGGAGTGTGCTTTTACCAAGATGCATTTACTCATACAGCACATAATGAAATGACTTATACCATCAGCCTTAGACATCTCACACATACATGCGCGCACGTACATCCACATACAAGCATTCTGCATTTACTTATTACAAAAAAAGGTAATTTGATAGTTACAGATCGTGAGAGTTCAGAGCACCGACTCCAGACAGATAGGACAAAACCATGCAACCATGGCCCAGAGACATGCTTCAGGGTATAAAAGAGAAGACCACCATTTAAAATGCAATAACTTCAGCACCACATAGGATACTACAAGTTTAATATCACCAGCATACGCACGACAGGCCAAACTTGTTACGATTACTGCCTGGGTCACAAAGTCTGAACTATTTGTATGATATACTAAAAATCAGGGGTTTGAAAACATACCAAGCAGGTACAAACAGAAAAGACGAACAGGCCATGTATCCAATTATAAATCGTAATATTTTTCCACCTACGTTCAACTCCTAAAATCATGCGGCCAAAGCTATATCCGGCGACTACAGGCCGGCTAGGACCCCAGTCATGGCCTCGTTGCTCCGGCATCAGTCAGCCCGTCCAAACAGAAAACGGCACATTGACTCCCGGGCGCCTCCTGAAACCGTTTCAAAAGAAGCACAAGCCATACAATCCTAAAAAACATCAGCTCGATCAGTTAAGCAGTGCAAGTACGTGGGTGGCTGTCAAGCCAGGTACCCACGGGTCCATCCTGGAGCACGACACTAGTGCCTAGTCCGGGGACGCCATTTTGCTATGGTCCTGCGCCCGACCAGCTCTCCATGCATCAAATGCCGAATACAAACACACCACAATAAAATCACACAGAACCTTCACTCCACACACAGGCATAAAACACCATAATGTACCAACCATCTGCACGAGCGACATGTAGAGTTAGTGAGGCGTCGCTGAAAATGTCACAACTGCGAAAACTACTGATAGGATTAACAAGCGACAGAGATGGAGCATTTGTTTGTAAACATTTTGTCTCATGCTACAAAACAATTAGCCAGTTGACCAACGTAGCCAAAGTATAAACGAATCCACCTACGTCGCTAACCTTAGCTTAGCTAATCACGACACCCCCCCCCCGACAGCCGGCGACAAAAAATGTATGTCTCATTTTAACTATAAAACTTGCCTTTGCAACAGGTTTTACGTCCTGTGACACGTGCGCAACATCGTATAAGACAACATATTCGTGATACCTGTTATTTCCAGCTTTATTCTTTAAGCGGAATCCAGTTCGCCGTTATTGAGTCGGTAAGAAAAAACAAACCCATGGGACGCACGCAGGAAAGGACGCCAGTACCACGTGGTCCGACAACTAGCCAATTGTGTGTGCATTACGCAGGAAATGACGTCGTTAATAAGCATGCCTCGGACGTGAGAATAGTTATAGAAGCGATTTTAGAAAGTCCTTTCATGTCGGGGATGCACTTCAGCTTTGTCCCCTGTGCAGCGTTCCCTAGGAGAGTCTTTGGTATCCCCTCAAAGCTGTTTGGGATAGAAGAAGATAGATAACTGATCGGGATCTTAAAATGCATTGGGGAGGCTGTATGTGGCTCAGCAGATTAGGATGCTGTGTTTGTAATTGGAAGATCAATGGTTCAAATCCCACAGAGGGATTTTACCATTGGGTCAATGAGCAAGGCCCTAAAACCCAGAGTAATAGCCTGCCCTGCTTTCTCAACTGTTCCTTACTTAGGATAAAAGCCTCTTCTCAGTAAAGTTAATGCATTTCTGCCTGTGCAGAATGATTACTCTTTCATAGAATACTTTATTGATCCCCATGGGGAAATTATGTTTTTGCCTATTCCATCTTGCTCTCCATGAGACACAAAGACAGATGAGAGCAAGCTTGGGGGTCACAGGGCAGGGTCAGCCAGCATATGCAGCGCTCCTGGAGCAACTGGGGGTTTGTACAAAGGCCAAACCATTCAAGCTATAGTGACCTTCCAATATCAGATACTAACCTGCTGAGCCACACATCACCAGCTAGTATAATAAATACTCCCTTTATTACATTGTTCGTTTTGTAATTTATTTTTTATGCATTTTTTTTAATTCATAAGCATTGGTAAGTATTGTGAAAGGTCAGTGTGACGCGACGGCCACAGACCAGCAGGCCTCATTCAGCATTGTCAGTGCAGAAACTGAACTGGGTGGGGCTGGTTTGGCGCTATTTGCCCCAAAAATGCAGTGGAGCTTAAAACTATAAGGTAAGCAGGGTGTTTATTCTTTCTCAGCTTTCTCATTAATGGAAATCTTGGAGGAAAACTGCAAAATGGGAAGGCTGGGAGAGGAGCAATTTCTCCCTGAATTGGCAACTACAGCCCTTCATTGCCACAGCCCTCGTATATGTTACCATCAATCCTCCTGGGGTCGTAGCTGTACCCGCATCTTCCGTTCTTCCTCATCTGCCACAGTTAGTTTATAAGATAATACAGCTCTAGAAAAAAAATAAGAGACCACTCTATATTATTTTTTCAAAAGTCTGCATTTTTAAGTCCTGGTTTAATCCTGGTTCTGCTGGCAGAAGGCTACACTGTGCGGCAGGCTGCTTCCAGGCTCAAAGTTTCTAAGAAAGCAGAACACAAGATCAAGGTGAAGCCGGAGATACTGGCAATGACCAAAAACCTGCCAGGAAGAAGGCAGAAGCAACTTGATAGGGATGACTGTTAGCTTATCTAGTAGTGCCTCATGATTTGGAGGATGACCACAAGTGACCTTCAAAAGGAATGGGAAACATTAAGTGGTGTGAAGTGCACTGTGAGGACGGTGTGTATCGGGCTCCTAGAAGCAGGACTGAAGTCCCATAAAGCAAGGAAGAAGCCCTTCATTAATGAGAAGCAGGGAAGAGCCAGGCTGCAGTTTATAGTATATATACACACACACACACATTTATTTTGCCTCCCACAGATGCACACCCGTAAATTGAGAAATGACTGAAACAAGAAATTGTGCTGTGGTCTCAATCTTTTTCAGAGCTGAATGTAAATGAAATATGATGCTGGTTCTTGTCACACGTTATGGGCAGAAAAAAAAAGAACATAAGAGACCTGACAGTGTCAGTAGAATCTCGAAAATAAAGTCAAAATGATTACTGTACATAGTATGAGAGCTTTTATTTGGAAACGAGTCCACAGGTACAGTTTGCGGATTAAAAGCATTTTTGTATATTGTAAGGCCTTGGCCTAATTTGGAAAAAAATGAGTGGAATTAAAGTTGAATTCGACCTCGACCTGCTATTACCTTTCATTGGGTTCTTCTTCTTACAACTAGCATGGTGTGTTCTTCATTGCAAGAATGTTAGTTCATGTTTATCCTAACAGCATAAGCCTGGCCTTTCAAGAACATACCGAACAGGGGTGGTCCTGCCATGTCTGTTCTGAGGGCTAAACAAGTAAATTAGTTATATACATGTAAAACTCTTCCTGCTCACAGCCAGAATGATATGGAATCAGCCTGACATTGGTGCTGTTGTGCGTGACCTTGGTACTGCTAAATCAGAAAGGATTCCAACAGTCTATTTTAAGAAGATGGGTTGATTGAGGAGGAAAGCAGCAAAGCATTTCCAGAGAGTTCCACAAGTTCCCTCTGGTATGTTGGAATGCCCCCAAAATTGTGTAAATTGGCCTGAATGCTCCTTCAACCACCTGTTGACAATATGCAGCATGTGCGGGTAGCAAATTCTGCTCTGAAATTTAATTTCTGGGAACGTGGGGGCTGTATGCCATGATACTACAATGTGGCTCAAGCCGTTATGTAAATACCTACATCTTTTTCTGCTTATAGATACTTGTGTCTGTGGGCTTATCCAAGTCCATCCATTTTTCTGCAGTAAGCCACAACCTGTGAGACCACTTAGTGTTCCCATGTCACACGTCCTCTGCCTCGCTCTTCCTGTCACTGGTCTGGAGGAAGGTCATCAATACTTTGTGGTCAACCACTTCCAGCTAAAGAATCTGGCACAAGTTCATTTCCTTTCTGTTTATGAAGGTTGTTCATGACCTTATCATGCAAAATAATGCACCAGCGTCTCCCATTTGCACTGCTGATTTTCTTCTTTCCCCCAAGTGTGAAGATGCTCCCTTTAATAGAGATATTTGCAAAATCTTTGCCACAGAGAAACCTGACAAATGAGCCCTGAAAACCATGCCCCGTTCTCATCAATCGCCTTGTCTGAGAGCTCAAATTCCCCCACATTAATGGAGATGTGAAGCGACAGGACAAAATATATGAACATGCAAAATGTGCGTTTTTTTGTCAAAGTCAAGTCAGCTAAGCTTTTATTGCATCATACACCTTAAACCCATGAAAAGTTAACAGTTTGAAAGGTTCATAAGTGCAGTGGTTTTTCATATTTTTTTAAATTTTGAAATTTGGTATATGGTTTAGTGAGCCTAGTATTTTGTATGATTGTGTGCTCCTCTATGAATGACTAAAGGAATACATAAGGTACAAAACGAAATACATTTTAGCGCTGGATGTTAACCTGCGTTAGTCCACGCATAAAATAAGCACCTGAATATGGTGTAGAGGTCCCCAGTAAAACAATGATTGTGATTAGCCGACTGCTGGCACCAATCAGGAATGAGCTGCTAAACTTCGTTTTCAAAACTTTGAAGAATGACTGAAATGAACAAGAACCAAGACCAAACAAATCAAGTCATTTTTTTCATCTGAATTATCCTGTCAGTTGCCTTCCCTCATAGCTTGAGTCTCTGTCCCATCTTTCACCAGGAATGTGTTGACGCTGGCCTATACTTCTTGCTAATTTACAATATTCTCTAAGCTACTGATACATTTTAGGGTGTTATATTCATATCTTGATGGGAAATGTGTTTCGCGCAGGAAAAAAAAATATGAGTTTTTAATTTGCTTTTAAGTTTTACATTCAATAGATTTACATCACATAACTTATGTCCCAAACAACTGGGAGATTCACACTGGCCTGAAACATATATTTACAATATATACTCATTATTTTATACACATAACCTTACCACACATCAAAACATTTGTAAAAGTACTACTTTTACTGGTAGCTTAGCAATTTTGTTTACTATTTCACTGACAAACAGCACAAGCTACAAATTGATGTAAATAATATCCAGCACTTCACAATACAAATGACTCCAAAATACTTTAAACATTCAAAGTGCATCCTATCTTAAATAGTTTATTTAATTCATAGTATCTGAGGCTTTCATTTTGTGGATCCTTTATATATATATTATTTTTTTTGGCTCATCACTAGGTCTCATCTAGTAAAACACACTCATCCATCCCACCTCCTGCTGTCTCAGACCCAGTACGCCTGCTCACATCATCTTTGGGATGTCATGAGAATTACTTCACAAGGTCTGCTCCCCGTTTTCACTCAGGCAGCAGGTGATGAAGCAGCGGATGACATGCGAATCCAGATGTTGAGACAATCCACCATTTTGGCCAGTTCCTGATCAATGTGTTTCTATAGAGAACAGGAACCTTAGTGGATTCAGGTGAAGGACTGTCAGAATGCAGGAGGAACGTAAACAACTGGATGAGTTAACCACACCCACTCCTGCTCAAATCTGTCCCTGATGAACTGGTCCAAGGCCACTTATTCCCTCAGATCCTGCTTACGGCGTTCTTCTCGGAGCTCTGCAAGGAGTTGATCTCCCAGCGCCGAAGGGTGCTGCTCTTAAAGTCCGCCTGGCGCTTGACGATGAGGTATATCTTCCTCAGCACAGCCCGACGAAGGAGGATGTAGACCCAGGGGTCCAGTATCTGGTTCCAGGACGCCAGCCGCACCCCCGTTACCATCAGGGTTTTGTAGGTGTTCAGGTTTTCCCCAAGAGACTGGGTCACTGACATCAGGCCAAAGATCTGGGAAAAGGAAACACTGGCCTAGTCAGTATATCATCATCATCATCATCATCATCACTACTTATAGTAGTGATAAAAACTCTGAAAGTGGATAAAATGATAAAACAATAAGAATGAAAACATTTGGTCAGTAGACAAATAATATCACAAGCAGCAATATTTCTGCCAGTAATGTTGTGCTTATATTTAGCCTTGGTGCTGTTTAGGCAGTAACTACGGTAACTACGACCCTCGGTTAAGGCGTTTCTGTCGTATAAATGTCCCAGTCGAAAGAATTAGCAGTCCGTGTCACCGAGAGAAACATTTTTATTATTCCGGTGCCCAGAAGTTGTGTGAGGAGTTTAACAAAACTACCACTAAGTGCACAGAATCATGGGAAATTTAAGAATCAGACCAGCATGTGACGACGGTCGACTCTGCGGCAACTTTATTCGAAGATCACTATTAAAAATCCATTTGAAATTAAAAATTGAAAAGTCGGTCATATCAGACATCCACGCACAGTCAAGAGCCTGAAAGTGTGAACTCATACCCCTATTACACTGTGAAGATTAAATAATGATTAATTGTAAACAATAATCATAAACGTGTATTCATAGACTGTATTATAATTTAGGCTAGCTTATTACATAGGCCTGTTTTCAACTGGCAACAGCTAGCTCCTCCAATCATGTGGCTGATACTCAATATACACATGATGCAGACAGGGTCGAGACGTTCACTTCCTGTTAAACTAAGCATTAGAATAGCTAAGAAGTGCGGTTTATGCGATTTTTTAACATGGTATGACTTGGTGCCTTAGGTAGTAGTTCAAACATCTCAGAAACAGCCAGCCTCCTGAGATTTTCATGCAGGACCGTGTCTAGAGTTTATAGAGAGTTATATGATTAACAAAAATATCTAGTCCATGGCATTTCTGTGGCCAAAAACACATTGATAATAATGAGGTCAGAGGAAGAAAATGCCCTGACATAAGATTAAGATTGATCTAACAGGCCACAAGTGCGAAAATATCATTCTTTGACCAAATAACTCATCAACCATTGAAAAGTTCTTGAGGCAAAAGTTGTTGTTGCCCAACAATTTGACTGTAAAGTTAAATTGAATTGAATGTGGCTCTTAACAATGCCCTGATTGAACCCAGAACCCAGTTTTTGTTGAATAGGATGCAGAAAACTACTTTAGGTTTTAAAGTCTGATCACTGTTGAAAAGGTTTGTAACTTATTAACTTTAAACTATGTTATTTTCTATTAGAAATCCTGTTAGCCAGAAAACACGTCATATAGTAAAAGCTTCAGTGAATGTTTGGGTTTATTCAGCATAATTAGATTTCACTGTTCACTGTATACTGTATGTCCCCAAGGGCCATGCTTAATGTTTTTGTGCTATTATTTCTAGATAAAACATTGCAAAAATGTTACAATGATGAGTAATCGCATCTGAGTTTCTTGCATGTGTGTCGATATGAGTAATTGCGGTGCTATGACTTTAACAATTAGCATTCCTTAAGCTTTATGCGAACCACAGGGCATCTGCAGTTATTAAATAGCACCAGCGCTGGAAGCCGTTAGCTGTCAAATCACCTTCAGCATGATCCTACTATATTGCACCCAGCAAATCATATACCAGTATTTTTAACGAAACTAGATTAAAAAAAAATAAAAAAAATAAAGCCTTAAAATGAAATCAGGTCAAATCAGACCGTATTGCAAGATAAGCTATTTGAATTTCAGTCAGAACAAACAATGAAATGCTTTCTCTTGGATTACAGTTTTGATTCTAGATTAAGTCAGACTCACTTTGTCCATAAATATATCTTACAAAATATTATGGCCTCACCATTGCCTTCTATCTTTGATGTAACACTATGTTTAAAAATAGTTAAATACAGAAGCTTCTGTACACTTAGAATAGCATGAAGTAAATGAACATCTGGTGCCTTCCAGGATAAGGCCACGGAGTAATTTTTATTGCTAGAAAATCAGTGGACTGGACCAGCCTACTGTATGTCGCCTCAGTTAAAATGTTTTGAATTTAAAACCAAGGAAAACTAATGTAATTTAAAGAATTGAGGCTCGGAAATACAAACAATTCCATTTCTGTTAAATGCAGTTAACATGCAAGAGACATGGGTAAATGCTAGCTGGTTAGAGCATTTACTCACCAGCAGGGGGCTCCAGCAGATGCAGGATGTGACCATGATGCCCACCAGCTGCACCACCATTTCGATGTCGTGGGACTTGGCGGAGCGCCGGTTGCAGGGCTTCCTGCGCAGGCGCGCCATCACCAGCGTGAGGCCGCTGACGGTGTTGCAGATCAGCGCCATGGCCAGGGATGCCAGGCCCAAGCAGGAGAAGAGCAGGGCGAAGGCCACATCGGTGCCCTTGGTGTCCTCCAGGACCCTGATGAAGCACCAGGTGCCCGGGAATTGGTAGGTGTAGGCGCCCAGCTGGAAGCAGGGCAGCAGGGCCACGCAGAGCGCCGACAGCCATATGGCGGTCAGGGAGAACTTAGTCCGTGCGGTGGTGACCAGGGAGGCGTGCAGCAGGGGCCGGGTCACGCCCAGGCACCGTTCGGCCGCCATGGCGCAGCCCAGGAAGAGCGGGCACAGGCCAAAGAACACCATGCTGCCACCCAGGAACTGGCACAGTGCGTCTGTGGATTTGGGCGGAGTGGAGTCACCCCCCGACAGGTAGAGGCGTAGCACCAGGGCACCGGGGATGATGTGTCCGGCGAAGTCGGTGAGCACCAGGCAGCTGGCAAACAACAGGAAGGTGGCCTTGGAGCGGCGCCTCAGCTGGGCGTAGGCCTTGGCCAGGATGATCAGAGCGATGATGTTGGAGAGGACCCCCAGCGTCATGGAGAGCCCGGCCACCACGGGGCTGCCAGGAGGAGGCCCCGCCTTCTCCACCGTCACGTTGTCCTGCTGCACCGCCGGTGCCGCGGCCCCCACCCCCTGGCTGCCGTTGGAAAAGGGGCCGAGGGACACAGGCCCCGATACATTGGAATGCTGTATGGATAACATCACTGAGCCTTGAGGGGTGGGGCCATTTCTGTGCGGAGGGGAGGCTGGGAAGAAGCACGGATGGGCAATCAATACAAAGCCGTGAAGTACCATTAACCACCCCCCCCCCCCCCAAACAATTTAATTGCTTTAAAAAAAAATACCTCAGTGGTTAGTGGTTTAGAGAAATGCAATCAACAGCAATGGGGAAAACGGCAGCGCTGTCACACAGGTGATGTTACAGAAGAATATAATTACACTGCGCTCCACACCCACTGTTGGGAAACGCAGCTAATGGACTCGGCGTATTCGACCCTTTGTTTATTATTCACGTTTTATTTACTGAAGCAAAGCAACTCAGATTTTTGAAAATGTAAGGTCATACCGTCCATTTATCAATCGGGGGCTAAGGCTTAAGTACAGGAACTATATATATATATATATATATATATATATATGTTTTAATATAGTCATCTACAAAGCGCTTAAGAAATGTAAGAGCAATAGGCCTGCGTACTAAAAACAAAACGTACAATTCTTACAATTTTTTCCCTGGAAAAGAAAAATCAATTTTTAGGTCAATTGTACTAAACCTCAGGCAAGACCCAACTGCCCCGCCTGACAATAATGGATCAGTGGCGGGCATTACACATGGTCTGCCCGGTGACACCGAACCCCGGGGCGTCGTTTAGACACACAACACGTACGCCGGTGGTCTATCGACCAATGCTACCTATTGAGACGTGCTACCGAGCCTTTATGCGCATGAGCAGTTCCACCGTTTTGGGATTAGGGTTAGGTTTTAGGGTTTGGGGTTAGGGTTAGGGCTATCGATTAGCGCTACGGTGGCCTAACTCGACAAAGCAGCTCAACTCGTCAGAACACCGGCTGTGAAGGATGAAAACCGGTTTCCCCCATCTAATGATCACTCCGAAGTTTTATAACCACAAGAAATCCGTCTTTTCATTTATTGCTGTTAGTGGTGAAATAGCATTACCTATTTTAGCTCTCTGTAGTAGATTTCAGGTAAATGCAATAGCTAGAGTACTTTATCGTTTGCAGTGGAGCCTGCAGAACTTTTTGATCGGGGTGCCCATCAGGGGCCAGTTATATATATTTGAGGATGGCAGCACCGTAAGTATTCTTTAGTTTCGCTTGGAAAGTAATGTAATGTTTCGTTTTTATTATTTTGATGTGGGGTGGCAAATGAGTGAATTTGTTGGTTTGGCCGTTTATTCTATATGCTAATATGACGATGTATCTACCATTTATGTTATTACACCGATTTTGCATGTTATGATGGCTATAGTATATATATTTTTCTTTATCATATATTATAATATAAAAAGCTAATTTTAGCATTGGATCAACATCCCACATACGTGTAGGCTACTGCTTTCAATGCGCAGGAAGCAGCTTTGTGTATTTTCACTTTATAACGTTTTTATAAAACAGACCTCCAACGAACAGCGCCAATAGAAATATTCTTAGAATTGTGACCAACAGCATTGTCCATCCATCCGTTTCCCAACCCGCTTATCCTCTTGGGTCTATGTCAGTACTTCCAGAACCTACTTCTTTTCTTAGACATAGTCTTTGTTCTTTTCCACTAAACATGCCTCTCAAAATCAACGACGCAGGAGAGAGTTTGATACTGCGGGATCACAACTTAACCATTTAGATACAAAGGTATTTTATGTGGGGGGGGGGGGGTTAATGAATCCAAATTAAATATGGGGGGGTACACGTCCCCTGCGGTCTATACGCCCCAAATGAAAATAAGCATACATTATTTCATTACTAATCTTGATTTAGCAATTAGCAACTTTCATTGCACACGTTTATTACATATTAACTAACACAATCATGTTGGCGTACTAATTCTGTCTCAGAACTGGTCATTAGATATAATTCGATTAACACAAATATTAATAATACTTACCATTTGGTTTTGTAGTCTCTTATAGCAGGGTACACTGTCCATTATCGGACACTACAATCTTTTAAAGAAATGCTCATATTCAAGACGTCGTGTTCGAGTACTTCCAAAATCTCAAGAGATAATCCAAACGCGATAGTAGAACAAGCCAACAGCTACATCCACCTCCATAAACCGGTTAAAAAAATGTAATCGCTTTAAGTGCTGCAGTCTCTGATGAAAGCGTCAGATTAAATTCTCCTCCATGTTTTCAGTAATAAGCACACCAATATACTCCGTACTTTATGAGAGCGAAGACTGCATCCCAGCCTGTGGAGAAAGTACTGAGTAGGTCAGTTACACTTCTCCTTTATACACTTCATAGTTAATACGGCCTGTAGGGGGATATGCTAGTCAAGAGCAGCTCGTATGCATTTGGTTCAACATGAAGTGAGCCAGCAAATGACATAAATAGTAGCTTTTCAGGTGGGTCTTTTCCAGCGTGCATGGGAGCCAGCCAAGAATGTCGCGGTGTAGCAACCCTCAATATTAATAAGGGGAGGGCTGGTCTCCGAGATGCCAATCTGCCGAAGGGAAGCTGAGGTGTGGCGATAAAATCTAAATATTTACGCTCGTTGGATGGATTGAATGCAGCAGAACAGCTACACAGCCCGTGAATTAATTTTAAAAGTTGATTGACTGTGGCAATCCTTAGCTGTATAATATCACTAATAATAAGCAGGTTAAGAGCAGAGTATATTTAACTTGCCAAACATGAAAACACTTTCTGGTATAACTCAACCCAAATTGTTACTGAGTGGGTCCCATCAAGTCGATGTTAACTCTTGCCAACCATATAAACGGCGCACCTTTATAAAGTCTGTCTGGAGCAGACTTTGCCATGACATGCTCAACATAGTACACTTACTGTGTCCTCCTCTTCTTCTTTAACTTTCATTTTACCCAGAAGTATATATATACCCTTCTCCAATGCAGTGAGTCTTCTCATAATATTTCTAAAATAAGACAGCTTCAATATGGGCATTTTAAACCATAGTTCAGGCTTGGTTTCATCAAGTTGTTTGACTTTGTCTATTTTTAAAAGTCTTCAACGGCAAATGTCAGATTCCCTTTCTTTCACATCCACATTTAACTACTCTACCATCCGCTTCCACCAATTCAAATGGTCCTTAAATTACATTAAATAGTATGTCCCTAGACGTATCAGACTGTTTCCCATTAATAGCAATTTGTCGGGAAACCAAATGAAACTAACCTGAATTTGACCAGGGCCAAAGAAATATAGGCTACAACCGTCCAAGTTCAATAACATTGCCCGAATAACGCTGAGTAAGTTAGCTGTCTTTAACATGAACAGTTCCAGATGCTTATGGTTAAGTGCAGGACTCAAAGCCTCTTTAATCGGAAACCCAACAACTAAGACTGTGAAAAACAAAGCTTTGTCAAACTATATTAGGAGCCACTGTAAAGGAGGAAGATTTAAGTAAAAGTACTAGTTTTGGTACTTCGAGCCGGCTCTGATCCCCAGCCAGCGTGTGTTTAGCGCGTCCCAGTCGGACTATCAGACGTTATGAAAAAGCCAAGCCTTTGCATTCCTGCGGTGCACAAATCTCGCATTCCTACCACATTTACTATTTATGTGTATATGATTGCTTGTGCAGACGTCTGTGTGATGGGCATTTTTAAGTAAATGAGCACGTTGAAACGATACATGCTCGTGTCTTCCTCCTCATATGTTAAATGATGTAATTAAAATTGAGTATAATTAGCCTACCAAAAAAACTGCTGAATTGCGAAGATGTACTCCAGGTTATACAGGAATTAAAACAGGAAGAAGATCCTTTTTATTCGTGGCGTTAATTATACGTCTTAAATACTCTCCTACGAGGAAAAAAACTTTTTCTTTATCGTTATAGACGAATGACAGAAACACATAATTAAAATATCTGTATGTGATTTTTTTTTTAATTAATGAATGTAATGCTATTTAATAGATTAAAAAACACAGACGTCACGTAGTGACGGGGAATTAACATGTTCTTATTTCCTCTTAATTAGGTATTTGCATAAAGCAGTTAGCCAACCAACGAGTGTATGAATCATCCTTAATTGGCAATCCTGGTTTCAGGAGACAATCAAAATCATAATTTGACAGCTAAGGAAGCCTGATGAGTCAAGACAGGGTTTCCTGTTTCTGCATGGTTCTGCCAGGATCCTGTTTGGTGAGTTGTTCTATTTACATTTTCAATAAGTTCTACTACAAAATAATGATTAAGGTGTTATACTCACAGCTGCAAGATAACATTCTTCTAATATTATAAAAAATATTAAAATGAAATACTTGAAAATACATTTTAATTAGTTCAGATTAATTATCTGGGGCTGTTCATTAACAGGTAATGAGACGTTTTCACTAACCGCTCATCTCCAGCAGGGTCGTTGTGAGTTTGGATCCTATCCTATCACAGGTCACACCCAACTGCACACTGCGGAAAATTCACAAATACCATTCTACCAAAACCACGTCTTCGGACTGTGGGGGGAAGCCAGAGTCTCTGGGGAAAAGTCTGTTTGAATATGAGGAAAACATCGAAAAAAGATGTAATTATGAACCCCAATGTTGGAGGTCGCTACCCTTCCCGGTTTTCCTGGGATTGTTCTCTTTTTTGAGAGACTGTCCCAGAAAATTATTTTTCTTTCCTACTTCATGGTATTATCATCAAAATAGTAGCAGAGTAGTACCTCTGTGGTAAAACCATAGTAATGTGGTCGTATATATACCATGGTATGCTACATAGTATTACTATGTATCTTCAGTTAAAATACAATGGTAATCCGTTAAGCTTTTTGTATTGTGCCGTGGTAATAACATGTTTTTAAATATGTTATACTATGGCAATATAAGCTTATTTTCAGTAGTATTATACCAGGGGCGTCAGAAGCATTCTTAATGTGGGGGGACACACTGGCGGGGGGTCTTGGGACCCTCCCCCAGAATTTTTTAAATGAATTAGATGCCGTATCTGTATTCTGATATCGATCAAGTGGAATGGATTATTTCGCGAAGCAATAGAAACAGCGCTGGGTGAACTAATATTTTATGTGAAATGTGGTGGTGGAGGGGGGGTCCAAACGAATAATTATGAAATGTGAGGGGGACACGACCCCCTCAGACTTAAAGGCGGCGACGCCCATGTATTATACGTAATGTTTACCATGGTATTGTAATGTTACAGCATCGAAATTAGACATCATAATTACATTAAAAAGCATAATGCATGAAGTACCTATATATGTTTTGGCTTAATGGAGAAAACACTTTGACAGTTTAATAGCCACATGCATCAAACAAATTAACCACGTATCAAAATGCGTTTCAATGGCAAAAAAGAAGGATACATTTTATCAAAACGCATGCTCAAAAAACAGAAGTAAAACCGTTATAAAAGGTAAATTATGTCTTTATTTGAAATGGAGAAAATAAAATTCAGCATCATAATTACTGATTTCTGTGAGTTGCTTAGGTGAAATTTTCAGATTCCATTGCCAAATCCAGCACAACTGAAATGAACACAGTCCCATGTTAACAATATTGTTAAGTTTTAGTTAGGGAACCTCTTGGCAAGTACTATATAGCATATACTATATAGCATGTACTATATAGCATGTACTATATAGCATGTACTATATAGCATATACTATATAGCATGTACTATATAGCATGTACTATATAGCATGTACTATATAGCATAGTACCAGTGCAGGTTGGTAATAAATACAGTGGGAGGTAACAGAATACTATATCAGAACAAAGTAGGCCTACTATAATATAAAATACTGCTCACATCCTAGGGGCATAGGCCTATACCATACGTACTGTATATGATATGCGCATGGTATAGGCCTATGCCCCTAGGATGGATACTGTATACCATCACACCATAAACGTAACATGCACAAAATAGAACACGATTAGGACACGATTTGTCCCGTTTTTTGTGAAAATGTATTTCTAATTTGTAATTTCATAATTTCAAATAAAACCTCACTTGGTTTCCTTCTACCGCCATTTTGTTGTCTTCCTGGCTATGTTTGTGGACCCAGCCCTGTGTCCGTAAACGGTTAAAAACGAGCAAAACGCACATCGCGGGGGTTTGTGTTGCAGGCTTCCCCACCATCTGGAAAAGCCGAATTTTTTTTGCTCATCTTGGCAAGCGAAGTGAAAGTCCATTTAAGTTTGAAGTTAAGTGCAGTGTTTCACTGTGAAGTGCATGTCATGCTTAGCTGTCTCTATGTCATATCACTGTACAAATATAGGTAATAGAGGCAATAGGGAGTCCTACAATTATTAACATATTATATTCAGTATATTTGAGTGTCCTGGTTCACAAATCAAAGGGGGCAACCCTAGCTGTAGGTGTGACGTCACAGTGCTAACCATGCCTACATTAAATAACACATCCATGTAACTAATTAATTGTTCAAATGTTTGGCAGTTACTGTTAACAAGCTCAGTTGTTTTAGCTTTCCTATCAGTAGAATCACAAGCATAATTTTCAAAACATATCAGAATTGACAAAAGATCACGACAATTCAGCTCAATTGTACCCAGTTAATTAGGAACAAACATTGTACATTTGGGGCGCTCAGTCCAGGAAGGCGGCCGGGGGAGCAGACAAGGACGCTAGAGATATGGGATGGACAGCGACACCTGCAGGCCAAGGGGGCAATAGCCTCAGACCTATTCAATAACAATAAGGCTTGATAAGTCCACCAACCCAAGCAGTTCCAACCATCCAAGAAAGACTCTTTATTCAGCAAACATGTCATGCATTCAGGAATAGCTCTCACATTATTTGGAGCAATTCACTTTTGCAGAAATTTGATAGGTGGGTCTGCATCATTGCTTTTTTCCTGTCTGAATATCTAGGTTGTGGAGATCACTAACTAAAACACTGGCCCCAAGACCCTAGACTTGTCTGATAGATGAATTGATCGTACTAGTAAAACAGATTTTATTAAAAGCTGACATAATTCAAGACTCCCATCTGTAATTTATTTGACACAATAAGCCTATTCATTGCCATTTAAATTGCATTTATATTATGCTACATGGTAGCCTACTGGATGTTTGTGTATTTCATCTACAAGAAATGAAATTACTGGACAAAAAAGTCCAAAAGACCTTGTCTCTATTTTCAGACTCCTATCATGTGGTCTAACCATAAGTCTCTCCAACCCAGTTTGATTATTTCCACCATGCAGCAAGACTCTTATGCTCCATCTCAAACATCCGACACACTTCTGTATATCTAATGGCTGCTTAGCTGTTCGCCTTGCCAGAAACAGTAATAATCCAAACAGCACTGCATAAATATTTGTGCATTGTGGTTCGAAAGCCAGGCAAAATAAAAAATATATTTCATGTATTTAAATTAAAAAGAGAAATGTTTATTCTGTAATTTAATTCTCTATGTAGACTGTGCTTATGTGAAAAATATATCTGATTTTCAAAATATTGATGCACGGGGATGTGGAAAATGTATTCTGGGGAACTGCCAGACCCCCATCACCCCAAACTTCCCTTCTTGAAACTCACCTTTTACCAGAAACAGTCAAGATATGGAGGTAACAGCATGCATATATATTATACAAATAAACGGAATATACAGGATACAGCAAGATATTCACACTGCACATCCATCCATCCATCCATCCATCCAGTCTCTGCCATTTCTTGGAGTCCGGGTCACGGGGCCAACAGCCTCAGCAGGGATACCCAGACCTCCCTCTCCCCAGCCACCTCCTCCAGCTCCTTCGGGGGAATCCCAAGGCGTTCCCAGTCCAGCCCAGAGATGGTCTCTCCAGCCCGTCCTGGGTCTGCCCTGTGGCCTCCTGGTTGAACAATTCCAGGAAGGCACCCAGGAGGGATCATAGACAGAGACAGAATAGATACAGTAAAACTGCACTCATGTGCGATGTGATGATTCTAAGGCTGCAAAAAAGGAAACATTTTTGTTACCATTCAGCTGCTTATCTTGGTCATACTGGGACCTGGAGCCTATTCTAGTCAGCAAAGGGGACAGAGATGCACGATCATACACTCTGGGCTACTTGGGGACACCAGTTGGACCAGCTGCATGTCTTTATACTGAAGGAGGAAAGCGGCAGAGCAAGAGAAGAATGCAGAAAGAGCAGAAGCCGCCATCTTTTACCTACATTTTATATTTATTATGCTTATTCATATTTTGACCATTTACAGCATGTTTTCCCTACAGACCAAAGCTTCCTTCAAGCACAAGGAGCATGTTTACAGAGATTGAGTAATGGGATATAAAACCACAACAGCTGTGATCTAAACACCGAGAAAACTACAAATCATTAAAGCAGAGTCTTCCAGGCAAACAAGCT